CTTGAAAGTGACAGAGTGATTATGGAGGAGCTGCACACAAATCTGAACTTTGCTTCTTGGCCTCTAGCCAAAGTAAAGGTTTTTAGTAAGAGGAAAGTGACTAAATAGTACAAGCTATGGGGTAACTTTATCCCCTAGAGAGTAGGGTCAAATGATCTACATTCCCTACATCTGCAAGGGCAAAACAGGCAATCTATCACCTTGGGAAGCTGCTGAGGGATGATGAAATCTTTCCTTCTGTGATGAACAGAAGGTAACTCAATAAAAATAGGGAATAGAAGTCTGATATAACTACTTTGCTATTCTCTTGAGGAGACGCTGGACAACAAGTACCAGAATCATGAAGATTTAGCTCTGGATGTAGCACTTGAGAGTCTGGTGACCACCACCAGACTATGCAATAGTTACATTACAACAACAGAGTGAAGGAGTTGGGCTTGTGCTCAGAAAAGAAAAGGCTTCAAGGGGCCTCTGAGCAGCCTGCCCATACCTGTGAGGAAGCTGTCAGCATGACAACCAGGCTCTACCAGCAAGAGGGTGTAAACTGACAAAAAACAGGGTCAAACAGGATAGAAGGAAACATTTTTCCACCATTAATACAGTCCAACAGTGGAACAAATTGCCTCAAAAGGTTGTGAAGGCTCTGTCATCTTCATATTTTCAAGACTTGGCTGGATAAAGCCCTGACTTTAAGCTGGACCTGCTCTGGGCAGGAAGTTATACCAGGAACCTCCCAAAGCTCCTTCCTGCTTTAGTTAGCTTCCAATTCTACTTAGTCTTTTTGTGGAAACCTTCCTGAAACCAGGGCTGGCAGCCTGATCCTTATGCTTTACTCGTTTGAGACAATTACTGAGCCTGTCACTGCTGCTGTCTAATCAGCTGGATGGATCAATATCAAAAATAGCACAATGCAAATTTATTGCCAACCTATGTCCATGTTCAAAGGAACGATGGGCCCTGACTGATACTAGGGATTCCACAGGGCATAACAATAAACTACTTTTTAGCCAAAAACAGGGAATAAAGCATTATTAAGGTTATTAAGCCTCTATCTGGTGCACAGATTTGCTGGAATTTTAACTTTCTGATGCTAGTGGCTAATGCAGCAAAATCAACTTCTGTTTGCAAGAATGGTTTGCCCTGGTGCAGCTGTATCTATCAGCATCACAGGAACACATTCATCAGTGGGTGATCTGTGGTATTGCTTGCAACAAGACTAAGGGATTTAGGCACTGGAGATGGAAAATTATGCTTTTAGTTACACTCAAACAACTTTTCTAAGTAGACTTGCTCTTTCAGAAACCACATAATCAACAGAAGAACAGAGATTATTGTCAAACATCATAATATCCTTTAATATTGGCTGCAACAAATATTATCTTCCATGCAATTTGACCTGAACTTTAAACAGATTAGTAGAAGACCTGTTTATTTCTGCAACACTTGACATAAGTGTGGCTACAACAAGTGTTAAACTGCAAAGTAAAAATATTCCTTATGGTTACCTAAACTCCTAAGTTTCCAAACGTCATCAGACCCATGGAAGATCACCCAAGCTAAACTCTTCTAGATGCAGAGTATCACCCTAGTGTGCTCCATGCTCTGGATAATGCTAAAACTGCCAGCATTGTAACAGGTTTAATGCAGAAATCTTGGAAATCTCACTAGAGGTTATGCTGTTTCAAGAATGCAAATGAACATGTCTTATAATTGTGATGAGACCAACTGCTCCATCATGTAATAAACAGACTCTGCAACTCAAATATTCTTTTTTCTTTAATATAGCTATAATTGAACAATACATTTATGGATATTTTCAGTTTCTGGGGGCCACTGGGTATGTAATAAACTACATACAGAAAAACACATACTCTGCTGAACTCTACCATCCTGAGATTCATGTACTCTGACACTACATTTGGTCCTATTTCACTCAAAACTATGCTTATGAGTACCAATGTTTTGTTCCCTAAAAGGATTTTCATGTAGAAACATAGGCAAATGCCAGAGCAAGTTAAATATTTGCCCATATACAAAATTGTTTTATTGGTCATAGCTACTACTCTGAAATTTGTAAAGTCACCATAACAATTCCAAAGCAAGTTTATGTTTACACATTCACAGACTCTGGTTTTGACTGTGTAAAAATCCAGCAAGTATTTGATGCTAAATAAAACCAGAAATCTGCAGCATCAGTAACACGACAAGAAAGGTACCTACACTTTTCCTTCCAGACCAAGCAAAAGTACATGGTGAAAGGAGATTGTTTGTTACTACTAAAATACATTTTTATTGCTCTGTCTCTTGTCTTTTGACAGATTAAGCTCCCAGCTTTACAGACACTTGAGCATAAGTGTCAATGCTATGTTGGGGCCTGGTACTTCTAGTTGCAAGTACTCCCCCAGACTACAAACTCAGACTTAAATTGGGTCTGTACATGTAGCTAAGTCACTAAAGGATGCTAAGCAGCAGCCCATCTGATATTTCGAGGAGGCTGAGCAATGACAATGTAATATTAATTACAATTTAACTTTCCTCTTAATGAGTACAATCGTCGATGGAAAGACAGCCAGGGCTCCAAGCAGAGACAAGGGGAAGCTTGGACTCACAGGCAAGGACCGGAATGGTGACAGAGACCTCTGGTGGGAAGCAGGAGGGCCACACTCTGCTGGAACAGAGTCATCAGCTAGTTCTGCAAGCTGCTTGTTTGCTGACCAGAGCTCTCCCATCTGTAAACGTGAAACTCTTATGCACAGGATAAATAATCAGTAAACAGTCCATGTTACTTGCTTGATTTTGTTGGATATGACTAGCTGTTCTAAAACATCTCGGGAACGATCTGCAAAAGAAACAAGGAATTTCTGGTTACTCACTCAGAACATATGTAGGTGGTGTTTAGGAATTGGGTACACAACACAGCAAAGTAATTAAATTATTTATGTTGCTATTGCAATATCACACTTCAGATATACCTGTACTAAACCAAAACCACTTGGTTGTTTCTCCAATCACCTAACTGTAAAGCATCACTAACAACAGAACTTAAAAAACCCAGTACTGTCCTCCATTCCATTGTTTCTTGAATGGATGCTGTCCCACACTTTTGCAACAGAGTAGGAGATTAAGATGCCAACATTCTTCTGAAGTCTTTGGGTCTGCATCAGTATGCTAAGGGAAGGAAAAGAAAGGAAACAAAAAACCCAATTTCCATACCAACAAAAAAATCCCCTCTCTGAAGGTTGCCATATTTCAAATCAAAATTCTCACCTGGCATTGAAAACCTCAGTGTGTGATTGTTATTTTATCTACTAAGTTATTATTTGCTTGGGATCATTTACAAAGCATAGTGTGCTTTTCCAGAGAGCATGGAGGTACAATCAGCAATCACTCATCTTACTGCCTGCATGGTTTGACCCACCTGTTATCAGTGGGCATCCATGGAACAGAAAAATGTGGATCTTGGGACAAGAGGTAAGGACTGCTTCCACAGCAACATCAGTCAGGTGGACACAGCGCTCCATGTGGATCTCCTGTTAGGAAAGTAGCAGCAACAAACACCTGTCAGAGCAGCCACAGTTTTAGAGGCAGAGCTTTCCTTTGCCCAATCAGTTTCAGAGATGCCCACCCAGAAGGAATTATGACCTACTACTCCTCTGTGCATTGACCCCAGCTGTGGTCCTGTGCAGGCCATGAAAATACCCTCAGGAAAAATAAGACAGTTTTTCTATGAAGGGTGAAAACTAAAACATAAACCTGAGTTTTCCCAACTTTAGATATGATTCAAGACAACTGAGAAAATTATTCAAACAGATTCCACAGTGTTTGAGTCCCATCAGTTTTCCTATGACACACATTGTCCTAGCAATCTGTTGTCCTGGAGAACAGAACCCAGACTGAATTCTGGTGTTTCCCAAAGCAGGCAGGATTCAGGAGTCACGGTGTACCTGGCATGAGATCACTGTCTATAAATGTGCACTTTGGTGATATGAAATGGAGGTATGAGGATTGTGACACAGACAAGGAAAAGAGTTACACAGAAGAAGACATTGTAGCAAACACCTTCATATTCTTGACTACATTTCATTTTATTCTACTTGTAAAACATAAACTGTTTAAGAAATTTATACTGAGCGAACACAACTTCATGTGTTAAACATTGTCACTCCACACAAAACTGTTACATTTTGCCTTATTAAAAGTGCAGAGACTTTGTGAGAATTAGAGATTTACCCATGCAGTGGTGCTAACTGATTTCTTTAACTCATGAAGTTATCCACACTACAAATTCTGCCTTAGTGTTCAACAGACTCAAGAAGTAACTCCAAAGAAATCAAGGGTAAAAGTTAAGCATTCATTTGCATCCATTATATAGCTCTGTCAAACAACATGAGTTAAAGTAAGCAACTACATGCAAGAGAAGGAAACTCATTTTGAAAAGACTGAGGTTATCAAAAAAAGCTGCTCTGGGGCACTGCTACAGAGATACAGAAAATATTCAGTTCATAACCAAGATCAGGGTGAGTGTGTACACAAACAAAGGCCAAGAAGTCAGTCAATAAAAACCCTCCCTCAGAAGTAATGCTGATAAGCATAATTTTAAAGTGCAGGTATTTGCTTTTGCTCATCCCTTTGTTATTAGGTTATATAAGTTACCTTTAAGTTCTTTGAACATGTCCCACTCACTAGTGCCACAACACCATCGTCTGTTACCTGGAGAAAAAACCACAGTGGATTAAAGATCAAGTTGTTCAAGCACAGCTGTTTGGGTGGGAAATTATGTTATTCACTTCCTGCACTCAGTGAATATGCTTAACATTACAGTATTTTCTTCCCAACTAAGCTTGTAGAGAAAATTATCCAAGTGGGGTTTTTTTCATTCTGTTAAACACAGTTTCACTTTCCTGCCACGTGCTCCAGCCTGGCTTTCTACTCAGATGTTTCCCACAGTGTAACTGCTGTTTCTGCAGCTTCCTTGTCTCATTTAACAGTAGGTACACTGCTATGGTCAGAGCCCAGCACTTCTAATTTAAAAGGTTTAAAGCATTTCTGCTTTACTTAGACCAATTTTTCTCTTGTTTTCAGGACCTCTGGACATGTTCCTGAAGAAAGTTTCTTGGGTTGGGACAGAAAAGTAATCATAGCAGAAAGGTAAAAGAAATTTCTTTTGATACCCTACTTGTGGAAAATTTGAAAGAAGAAGAATATCATCTAAAATAAGAACCTGCTATGTGTTTGCAAGATCTGACGCTTCATTATGATGCTCAATACTGGACTCACAGTCGACACAATTACTGACCATCACCATCAACTGAACACTACACTTACTGCAGAAACTCCTTTCCCTCACTTCATTATCTCACTGTAATTATGAAGGATGTTACATTATTGCCTCTGCAATTATTTTCCCCTTCTCATGCTAAATACTGTTGTTAAATCCTCTTCCCTGCCATTTCTGACATTTCAAATGTCATTCTTTCAGTGCTGACTCTAACATAACTAAAGCACACTGACTCTTGAACTAGAACCAATTGTGGAGTGTTTACCTCTACAAGGGACTTACATTGTTCGACATCCTATATTGCTATTATTATTAGTGCTATTATTATTACCATCAGTTTCTCCTAACTGAGAGCAGACAATAATCTGTCCACAATTCTGCTTTCTTTAAATGAAGTATTTTGGATTACTTTACAACTTGAAGAAAATGACTGCACTAAATAAAGACACTGACAAAAAAAATTCTCCAATAGAGATTTAATAGATTTTTATAAAGTTTTATCTTTGGTCCACAATACATACTGTAACACCATAATGTGTATTCTTCTGGTTACCAAGATGCAAAATGTACCTTTCTTTTCATTGAGAGGAGGAAATTGGAAGTAAACTGTGGTCCTAAATCTTGTCAAAAGTAGAGCTAAAAAGATCCCCTTTGAATTTTATCGTGACAGTCTTACAAATAAACAAACCAAAGTCAATTAGCCAATTCCCACCAGAGTCACCTGAGTAGATGAAAAGTCCACACTGTGAAGAAATTTGCAGTTTTTTCCAAGTGCCTGCAGAGATGCATCCATGATGCCTGAACAGCTGCCTAAGTTCACAATTTGCAGGAACTGGCAGTTGAGTGCAAGAGCAAGAACTCCACTGTCAGTGATATCACAGCACCTTTTGAAAGATGCTTCACACAAGTAAGGGCAGGACAAGGCCAGTGCTATGACACCTGCCAAGGAAACACAGCAAGTGAAATAGTTATTAATTTCTTAACATAACCACCATGCTGAGTCCAGAGGCTCTGCAACAAGTTTTGAGGAAGGAATAACTAAGATAAAGTGGAAAATACAATCACCATAGCATAGTTTTACAGAAACAGCACGGGAGTAACCTGATAGCTCCCTCCAAAGATAATCAGTGCTCCAGACCTCCCATTTACACCACTGAAGAGACTTTTAATTAGTATTAGTGTGGGGATTTTTAAAGCAATAGTTACCCTAAATATTTTTTGCAAGTAACTCCAGTCTAACAAAAAAAATAAACCAGAAATAAAATCCCAGTTCCCTGTGCACAAATAACATACCTTCTGAAGTGATTCCAAATCTGTTTTCCTTGCAAGAATTTAAGTTGATTTTTTTCAGCTGCTTGCAGTTATAAAGCTGCAATAATGCATTATCTGAAATATCACAGTCTCGGAGGTCTAGAGACTCCACAGCAGGGTGCAGTACCTGTAATGAAAACCTACCATTTCAGTCAAGCCATGGTATACCAGCAAACATGCATATTTCTATCTAAAATACTTGTAATAATAGACATCAAATAGAATTTTTCACTAGAGGATGGGGTTACCAGTCCTTGGAACTAAAAACTCTAAAGAAAATATGGTATATTTGCTGCAACAGTTCATCTCCTACAGCTTGAATGTTCAGTTTCTACGATCACATATAGAGTAGGAATACATTAACACTACTGTGTAAACACTGGAAATATTATCTTGATGGTAGAGTTGCTACCACTGGTGCTTCTACCAGCACAGAGATGTTTACCAAGGATAATATCCTCACTAGCACAACTCTGGTGGCAGAAATCTGGAGCAAAACAAAAATACTGATTGTGACCAAAACTTACATCTGAGTGTAATATTTGAAAGATATCTTGCCTCAGAGTATTTTTCTCACCTACACACACACACACACACACACTCTTTTGCTCACAAACAAGCAATCTCATTATTATACCATGAGGAGATATCAAATTCTCATTAAATAGGCTCTTCCACTCCCACAAGACCATAGGTTGGAGTTTTTGTGAAATCCTCCCCAAGAGGACATTTATTATGAAAGTTAGACCCAAAGTAATGGAAGGCCTCAGATTTTCATAACAATTGCCATGTACTCCCTTCTGTTTGTCATTCCCTTCCTTAACTCACGAGGATAAAAGCATAAATTTCCAGGCACCAGCAAAGATAACAGCACATCTGCCAGGCTTGTTAAAGGCTTGGTCCTTTTTCAGGTTCACCACTCTTAACAGGCACAATGAAATACTACAAGAAATACTGTTTTTCTGTTTAGCAAATACATAAGATGCTAAAATATTTACTAACAAAGTCAAATAAGCCTTTTGAAAAACAAGAAAATAAAAGCAAAAGCTTATAGTAGGTTACAATTGCAATCTTTTGGCAAAATGAATGGCAGACCTCAGACAGCTCTGACAGCTTCTTGTCCCCAACTGCCATAAGCCTTTAATATGTCTCTTTACAACACAAAACTACCAACAGAATCCACGAGACACTTGTGAGTAGTTTTCACAAGATAGCGTTCAGTTCTTATTTCACTCATATCTCTGAGTTCATATCTAAGGAACTGAAGCAGGCAAGCTCAGAGATGATGTGTTTAAAGCCAAAGTGACCATCAACGTTTATTCAAGCAGCTCTCCCTGACTGGTGGCTTTCTTTCACAATTCTGAATTGCCTAAGAAAACAAAAGTCACCAAACTGCTGGTTTTGAAGCCATGTGAGAAATTGTATGAGGGGAAGAGGGATAATGTATGTCAGCTGGTCACATGGACATCAACTATCACTGAAGGGAAAATGGTTTTAATTTACTTGTCACTACAAACATAATCTTATTACTACTGATACGGGACTATTAACATTGTGAAGTGTAAGAAATGGACAGAGTCAGCAGGCTCAGATTTCTCTCACGGAAACAGTTTTAGTTCACTTCATCCCTGTGTATTAACTATCACAGACAGTACAGTTTTGAGTGGGTTCTTACCTCACTGATATTTGAATCTGTTATTTGCCCTTGCCTACTCATTAATTTAATCAGTTTATCCTTTATGTTGGGTGGCAATGACTTAATATCTGCAGCATATCTGGAAAGGTTCTTTGTCAAACACTGAAGGCATCTGAAATACAGGAAAGTTAGAGTACAGTCACAAATAGGCATTATATACTAGAACTAGCACAAGCAAGCCATAAAATGTCATCTTCTGCACCTACCTACAGTGTCTTCAAACCTTCTCAGTTCCAGCTGCTCCATGCTACCACCAATTCAACTGTTGCCCTTTGGGGTCAATCAGCTGATCCTTCTGTGAAAGTGCTCCCCAGACAACTGTAGGCAAAAATCAGCCTCTACTTTCCCTGCCCAACCCCCCTGACCAAATGAATTTTCTGGTAGCACATTCACAAGCTTTAAAGAAAAAACCCTTTCACCATTTAAACTCCACTTGGTAAGCAGTAAAATCTTTAGCTGGGACAGCTAGTTCCAGAGGAGAAACACCTCTCTTTCAGCTCAGTTAAAGACATTAAGGAGATATTTTCATTGTAGCATTTTGTTCACTGTCTAGTTTGTAAGCACTCAAATGAATTTTCTGGTAGCACATTCACAAGCTTTAAAGAAAAAACCCTTTCACCATTTAAACTCCACTTGGTAAGCAGTAAAATCTTTAGCTGGGACAGCTAGTTCCAGAGGAGAAACACCTCTCTTTCAGCTCAGTTAAAGACATTAAGGAGATATTTTCATTGTAGCATTTTGTTCACTGTCTAGTTTGTAAGCACTCTTTTAATATCAATCGTACTGTGTAAGCCTGTGTTCAACCCTTTTCTATTTGTGCTTAAAACTAGATCTGACCACAGAGGATTGTGACTCGAGGCAGAAAATTTTATGTATTAGCAGGGTCCAAGAAATCTGAGATCAACAAGCTCATAGTCCTACAAAGTAGATTAGGCAAATAAAAAACCAAGCAAACACATGGAAAACATAATATACAAGAGATAGTGAACATTAAAAGGTATTTGGAAAGCCTCATCAACGACGGTTCTACAAGAAATTAAGCTGGATGGGGAGGAAGGTTCTCACACAGTTAATTGAAATTCCATCACAATCAGAAACACTGATTAGTTTGACTCAGTATAGCCAATTTCTCTTTAACAGCAGCATTTTAGGCCTCCACATATTTTTTCATTGAAATAATTTATCAGCCTGAAGGAAACAGGCTGATTATCCACTGGGCTAGATTTTAGAACTAACAATAGTGCCAACACATACTGCATTTTCTACACATAAACACCCTGCTCTCTGGGCAGCTTTTGTGTTAGAGTCAAAATTGCTTCCCTGTTCCAAGTAACCACATACTGGAACATGACTTACACAGTTTCCATCATGAGAAACTACAAAATAAATCTCAAAGACACACAGGGCTTACGTATTTATCAAAAAAAAAGAAAGGACTAAGTAGAAATAAATATTAATAGGCCTACTAAAATCACAGAAGGCTGGGTAACGCTCTGAGCCAAGATTTGAAATCCTAGAATTTTTTCTGCGGGATTGCAAGAAAAAGGGATCATTTCAGTCAGAATACATTAAGAGACTCTAGATGGAACAGAGCTTTTAGGGAAAAAACACTAAGAACTTTACTTAAGCAACACAAAACAGAGAGATCAATATTATCCATATATATAGGGAACAGTACCCAGGTGGAACAGTTGAAATAATGCTTTTCAAGGTCAAGTATACAGAAGAATATTTACTTTTGCAATACTGAGTACCACAGAATGACACCAATCATGCAATCCTATTTTTTAAGACTTCTAAGACACTTTAATGTATCACAGAATACATCAAATATTAATGTTCCAACCTCTGCAACTCTGAATCACAGGCTTACTGCAACACCAGAGGCAATTCCTGGCAAGTGTTTCTGGAGAGCTTCTAAGCATCCTGAGCACACTGACCTTCAGAACAATCACCCCTCACTAACATGCTAGATGACAACTACTGGTCCTTAAAGAAGGAACTGCAACTCTCTGAAGGGAGATTTTACTATCAAAACCCAAAGTCTTGAGGCAAATGAGGAACATAAACTAGAGTGAAGCTAATCAACACCCAGAGATAAGTGAAAAGGTACCACTTTGTTGTCTGGGAAATGCCAAAACTTTCAGAAGCCTTGCACTAGAGCAGAACTAAAATGAAGGGAGTTGAAATGGAGGAGGAAGGATAACTCCCCACTGACCCCTTGTGCTTAGAAACCTAATGTAAGTCACATAAATGATGGAAGTGCTTTGAATTGGAGATTCTATTATCTATCAATCTACCTGAATTACATTCTTTAGGCCAACTGTTCTTTTCACATCCTATCCAAAATGTTGAAAGAAAACATTATTGTCCTACAAAACATTTTGCTTTTGTAGAATCAGCATTTTCCCATTAACTCTCCCTGACCTTAGATGAGTTACTGTAACTACACAGTATTTCTCTCTACTGCAGTTGGCATCTAAACTTTTATGGGATCTGGATACAGAGAGCAATGATTCAGATTGGTAAGTAAAGACTGTAATGTATTCGCCTGCAGACAGATGTTGTCCCAGTCTAACTTAATGAAAGAAACTATGAATCCTGTTTTTCATGGACAGGGAAAATTGAGTAGTGCCTTACTCCTGCAAAGACCTGACAAAAAACCATTCCATCTTGCAAACCCACCAACAGCTTTTTCCCTGCTCCACATTATCAGACTTGTTACAGCAGCTGTTTATAGTTCAGAGTTGTCTATGAAGTGTCAAATGGCAGAGTCATTTGTTCCAAATGTGTCATGAGGTGCAGAACAGAAAAGGCATATGATCTTTAGTTAACCTTAAGGCCTTATGACAGAATACATACATATATTTCTAATATACAAAACAGAAATTAGATCTTCATGGCTAATTGTTCTACAAATATTCTAACTTACATCAAGGTGAAGCTTACACTAAGTTATGTCACATGACACAGAATAGCAGAACAGATGTTAGAAGTGGAACACATCAGAAGATGAAATTAACTAGGAGAACAAAGATAGGTTTAATAGCACATAACAAAGTAGATACATCTTCCTGCATTCTTTGGGAATATATAATTTATATTCATAATAAAACCGTAAAAGGCAGCTCTGTTTTAAAACTGATGTTCTACCTCTCTTCTCAGTTTCTGTACCCATCTGCAAATGTTCTGATGCCTTTGTAAGACCTTAATTTTCCAAGGCAGTGGCATGTTAGGTAACGCATTAGTCTGCAATAGGCTGATCCCGTTACACAAGAGCTATCATCAGTCACACATGGAGCGACCAAACCTAGGCAACACATACTCTTGTAATGCATTACATGTGTAGCACACTTTCTTTACCATGTGGGATCTAATTAAAACACCTTTAAATCTAATGTTTCATTTGTATTGCTCTAAGTCCGATTTTTGACAGCAAAAACTCCCTTTGTTGTGATCTCATGTCTGAGCACGAACAAGGCATCTTAAAATGCCTGCCAGGATTGAGAGATTTGTAACACAGCCTCCCTAAAGTATGTCAGCTAAAGCTGTTATCTGTCCCAGCTACCCCCTCCACCTCTCTAGCAAATGTTGTTGCTGCCAAGCACCCACACTACTTGTCAGGCCCTGCAACTCCTGCACTGTCAGTTTTCAACCAAACAGAATTATGTAAACTGACTACAAATTTGGCACATGGTGGCCTTAAAACTGCATCAGCTGGGCCTGTATGTGCAGGTTGGTCATTGCTCATCCTGGGAACAGTAACCTCAGGAAACAGAGGCTAATATAAGATATAGCTTGAGAAAAAAAAAAAGAAAAGAATGTTTTTTAAATATTTCCAATATGATGCTCTTATGTGTGTGACCTCAGAAGTGCTAATTACCTTTTGAGGCAGGGGGCAAAGGCCATCAAGTAGCAGACAAGCAGAGCAGCAGAAACACCTTAATAAATGCACTTTCTGTTAGGTTTTGGAGACCTTAAACATAATGACCTCATTAAAAGGACTACTCCACACACTAATAGACAAGGTTTGGGGTTTAGTTTCTGTTGTAAGTTCTGCTAGTTAAACAATAAGCCCAAGGGTTAGCATAAGTAAGAAGCTTAAAGTGCAGTCTGGCATAAACAGACGGCCATCACCTGATTGGCATTAAGTCAAGAAACAAGACACTGAATTACACACATTTGTTAAAAAGTTGTGTAATTATTAGTTTCGAGTATTAGTCTTACTGGAATAATAATTATATCATAAGTACATTATAACAGGCTGCAGCAGTACTAATAAAGTAGTGTAAAAAATTAGCAATCAATCAAAAGTAGGAACTGTTTTAGTATAAGCCCTACCGTACAGATAGACAGAAATTACTAGGTTTAAGATCTAAGGTTAAGCATGCAGTGTAATTGAAATGCTAGGGCCTGCACAACAGGCCCAAGCCAGAGCTGACTTATAGATGAATCCTGTACTCCCTGTGAACAGTGCTTCTTTGTGTTGGCTAACTAGACCACTTGAAGCATAACATAGATGCAGACAACCTTTGCATAGGCTCTATATCTGTCCTAGGCCATGCTGTCTGGAAGATATCTTATAGATGACCCTTGTATAGACTATATATCTGCCTAAGGCCATGGTGCCTTCTGCAAAATATCTTAAGAGATAACTTTGGTACTGGCTATATCATTGCCCACAAAGTATTACCAAGGTCATGCCCTGTCTATAATATATCTTAGCAAACTCCTCCACCCGTGTCCTGGGCTCTGGCCAAGCCCATGCCTTGGTCAGAGGGGAGAACCACCAGCCGTTATCTGCACAAACAATAAGAAACTGCAAGTTATTTTTTGCTTGCTAGTTTGGTCTGTAAAGGCTGGACCCTCTTGCAGCGACTTTGGACACCTCACCTAGAGGTGGACACACTGAGTAGGACTTCCCAGTTGCTGGGAAAGGCTCTCCAAACCTTCACTGCAACCAGGGGCTCCCCAGTCACTGCGGATCTGGATGATGATAAAGTGTTAGGGCAAGTGGTGATGTGTCTTTCTTAATCACTATTCTTTCCTGTATGTAGTAATGATTAGGTGCATTACCTTGCTTATGGTCTTTGTTGTTTGTGCTGTTTGTATTAGAGCTTAGTAAACTAATCTTATATGTAAATACATTATTCATTTTTCCATAATCTTAAAACACCAATAGTAAAATAAGTCTATTCTTTTCGTTGGTGTCGGTGTTACTTCTGTTGCCCCCATCAATTGGCAGA